CCAGGCAGAGGGAGGGCAAGGAGGACCAGGTCTTCCCACTCTTCCCCAGTAGCCCAGAGAGGGCAAAGGTCTTGGAACCACACAGCACGCTGGGTCCATGGTGCTTGTACATCCTCACTGGCAGTCCGGCCTCCTCCACACTCCCCGAGCCCCTGGGGCCCCGGCAGGGCGGGGTCACTGCCACCACTGCCCAGGCCTGGGCCACCGAGCAGCTGCGTGCCAGGCCTGCATGGGGCTTGGTCCGCACACATCACTGTTGGTCCCTGGCTGAGCCTCACTCCCCAGGCAGGGCCGCGCCTTCCCCTCCCTCCGTGTCTCTTCCTGGAGGATGGAACAGACAGGCTGGAGCTTGCCCTGGGAGCCCTAAAGAGGGAGGCCATGGCCTGAGGGGAGGTTTGGTCTCTGCCTGGTGACTCACTGCCACAGAACTTGGCAGAGGCCTCGTCTCCAGTGGACCCAGTGTCCCGCACCCTAGGCATTCACGTCACCTGAGCCATCGCTGGGTGGGATGTCCCTTCCACACTCAGCTCCTTCCAACTCCCTCTGCCATTCTAGGGCCCAATCTTTTTGAACATACTTCTCTAACCTTACTACCTCCAGGCAGCCTTCCCGGGTTACCCTCAACTGTAGCAGCCTTAATAATGGTGGCCCTAATGGACCAAAGGTGGCCTACCGAAGTCTGCTGTCAGTCCTAGGACTGCTTACCCTCTCTTGTCTCTCACCCTACAGAGTAAGCATTATGACACCCACTTTGCAGATGGGGAAACCGAGGCCCTGAAAGTATCTGAGCTTCCAGGAGGAAATCTTAGCCTACAGTTTCTGCTCTCATGATCCTCAGTGCTTAGAGCATTAGAGATTCCCAGGGCCGGCCTGGTTTGGAGGATTAAACTGGGGCAGGAGGTGACAGGCAGAGGCCACGGTACCAAGGGCAGCAGGACTTGGAGCTAGAGAGAAGGGGAGGACTTCAATTCCTCTCCCTTCCACATCCATTGCCACCATCTGTGGTCCCCAGGCCAAACAAAAGCCCATTGAAAGCCAGGTACTAGTGGCTCATGCCTGTAATCCCAGCTACCCAGGAGGCTGAGATCTGAGGACTGCAGTTCGAAGCCAGCCTCAGTAAAAAAAAGTCTGTGATACTCTTATCTCCAATTAGCCACTAAAAAGCCAGAAGTGGAGCTGTAGCTCAATTGGTAGAGTGCTATCTTCTGAACACAAAAACTCAGGGACAGGATGTAGGCCCCAAGTTCAAGTCCCAGGACCAGCCCCCACCCCTTGCAAAAAAAAAAAAGCCCCTTGAATTATTCCAGAAAGTTGTCCTGGAGCTCTGGCCATGCAGAGAGACTGAGAGTACCTCTCTGTGTGTGGGGGACACAAGAAAGCAAAGGGCACAGGTTTCCCCTTCAGCCCTAAATCCCAAAGGCCTGGATTCCAGTCTGCCTCTGCATTCTCTGGCTGGTGACCTGAGATGAGGCTCTGCCCCTCTCTGAGCCCACTTCCATCCTAGAGTTGAAGCAGAACTAACTAGGTCAGGAGAGCAAAGGCTCAGCCCAGCCTGGCTCGGGGTAAGCTCCCAACAAATGACAGCTTAAAAATAGATAATGAACGCAAAATAGCTCCTGGCTATGACAGCGTTTGGTGCCTTAATCTGGTCCCAATCACATTTCCGCTGGCCTTGGTACAAGTGCCTGCTGCCTACCCCTTCCGCAGGCGGGCAGGAGGGGCTCCAAGCTCCCTTTCCAGGCAAGAAGGTCTGGACCTGTGTCCGTGTCTACATGGAAACTAATAATACGAATTACAAATGAGAATAGCTAATGAATAGCTAACAGATGCTGGTGGCATAGCAGATACTGGATGCTTTGCATGAATCAAGCCACTGAATTCCCTACCTGCTCCCCCTCCACACACACCATCCTATGATGTGTGTGTGTGTGTGTGTCCTAATACAAGGCTTGAACTCAGGGCCTTGTCCTCTCACTTGGCTTTTTTGCTCAAGGCTGACACTCTGCCACTTGATCCACAGATCCACTACCTGCTTTTTGGCAGTTGATTGGAGATAAGCATCTCATGGACTGGCTTCAAACCCCAATCATCAGATCTCAGCCTCCCGAGTAGCTGGGATTACAGGCATGAGCCACCAGTGCAACCCTATTGGCATCTTAGAGGAGAGAAATGAGGCTCATATACAAGGTTAAGTAGTTGGTAGAGGTCATGCAGCTGGGGGAATGGTAGAGCAGGGATTTGAACCCCTGGTGGCCAGCTCCAGGCGGGCCCAGCCCTCATGGTATCTCAGCCTACTAGGCAGAAGCAGAAGCTAACTGCTAGATGGGGTCTCCCCACACACACACCCCGTATGGCCTGAAGTTGAAGGTCAGGGAAGTTGTGCTGGACAGCCCTAGGTGGGTACAGGCTCCAAGTTCCATGTCACACTACTACCAGGTCAAGACTCACAGTCCCCGGCCTTCTCTTCAGACTATGACTATGGTCCTGGCTCAGGCAAGTCCTTGCCACGCAGGGGCTGTTATTAACACCTGGTGCAGATGTGGAGAGCAAGTGGGATTCAGGCAGTGGAGCTGAGGGCTCCCTTTGTGGTGTTGAGACTAGGGGACCTAGGTTATGGAGTCAGCATGCCAGGGTTGAAGTCCTGGCTTTGCTGTTACCTAGCTATGTGGCCCAGGGAAAAGTCACTGAACTGCATTCTGCCTCTGTTTCCTCATTTTTGAAATGAAGACTATGATAGTATATAATCTATTAGTTTTCTACCTAAATTTCTCAGACTAACACCTGGTAAATTGTAAGCACTCAAATGGCATTAGAGATAATTAGAGGAGTAGATGGCCTCTGGTAGGTGGGTCAGTCCCCTCCCCAGCTTCTGGAACATTCTTCTCTTTCTACATATTAGCTTTTCCCCCCACCCAGCTTGCCTGGGTGAATGCTGGGATTTCAGGGGCCCCATCCTCTTAGGAGAGAAACAGGCCCAGCTAGATCTGGGGTGACACTTAGAAGCCCAAACTGCAGAAGGAAGAGTAGAGAGTCAATGTGACCTCAAACAGCCCTGACAAGCTGGACACTGGTGGCTCACACGGGTAATCCTAGTTATTCAGGAAGCTGAGAGGTGAGGATCGCAGTTCAAAGGCTAGTCTGGGCAGGAAAGTCCATGACACTCCTACTTTCACAATTAAAAATAAAAAATCCAGAAGTGGCTCAAGTAGTAGAGCACCAGACATGGAGGGAGCACTAGGTAGGAGACAAGAGGACTTAGGTCCCGGCCTTGCAGTGGGACCTGGCAGTCAGCCCTTCCTCTTTGGCCTATCTTATGCTTGGTGGGTTACAGGTCAGCGCACTTGGGAGTGGGTCCCGTGGCATGGGATCGCCAGGTGAGAGGGAAGGGGAATGGTCCCTAAGGAAGCATCAAGTCCCCACAACCTGAGCTGACCCCACCAGAGGCTGCCCAAAGCCTTTGGGTGTTTCTGACACCACAGATGCTGAGCACTGGGGCCTTCCACAGACCCTCAGCCACTCTAGACACTGCTCAGCCCTCCTGCACAGCCGCAGTCCACTCAGACAGGGTGCTGAGATGGATTGCTCCTAGTGGACATGGCCTCTTGATGCTCTGGACACATGGTCTGCATCGTGGTTAAGATCAGCTTAGTGAAGGAGACATCCAAACTGCACACAGCCTGACCCCCTGCTCCTTGCCCTCCACCCAGGACCCCACTTCTGACACCTTCCAGAAAGACATTTCCTAAGATGCCCTTTCTTAGAGAGCAGAGCCCCCCCCCCCCCCCCCCCCCCCCGAGTCTCTAGAGGACAGGGAAGGGGTGTTCCTCCCTCAGCACCCTTACAATACTGAGGTCCCTGTTAGGATCTGCTCAGCATCCCTGCCCAGGTGGGTTCATCTGTCCACACCTGAGTTAAGCTATTGGGAGTGATAGGCGCGTGGCAGATTGTCTCCCCCCCACCCCCCAAGACCTTGTGGTTGGTACCAAGCCTTCAGAGCTTGAGCCTGAGCCCACACTCCCAGCCCCAGCCCCGGCCTCACAGTGGGTGAAGAGCCCAAGGTGGAAGGGCTGCCAGGAGATCTCGTTACCAAAATGTTGCTCAAGAGGAAAATCAAGGTCCCCCGTGTCAGGTCCGGCCTCCTGGACGACCTGACCCCCGCCCCCCCCCCCAGTCGCTGCGGCTCCTTGGTACCGCCTTGGTGACAGCCAAGGGTACCGGGTCAGAGACAAAGAGAAAGGCCCTGGGATGGGGGGACAACGTTTCTGCCCCTCGCTGTCCCCTAAGGACAGGGCTGGAATGAGGAGCTGGGGGTGCGAGGGTGCCGAGGGGCGCCTTCTTCGGGACCCCTGCTTGCCGTGGCGGGGCGTGGGGAGGGGGAGGGAAGGGGCCCGCGGGGAACCAGGAAGGGCGGCGGGGGCCCCTCCGCAGGGGGTGTGTGGCGGCTGGCCAGGAGGCCGGGCCCCCCGGCCGGCGTCCCGCCGCCGCCGCCTGCCGGGGGCGTGGAGGCGAGGCCGGTGCGGAGGCACCGCACGCTCCCGCGCCGCCCCCCGCGCCCCGGCCCGGGCGGCCGCCACCCCCCCCCCCCGCTCCCTCCCACCGGCCGGGGAGCCCCCCGAGCCCCCGCCGCCCCCCAGCTCCCTCCCACCGGCCGGGGACCCCCCCGAGCCCCCGCCGCCCCCCGCGCCCCCAGCGCCCCGGCCCGGGCGGCCGGCCGCCCCCCAGCTCCCTCCCACCGGCCGGGGACCCCCCCGAGCCCCCGCCGCCCCCCAGCTCCCTCCCACCGGCCGGGGACCCCCGAGCCCCCGCCGCCCCCCAGCTCCCTCCCACCGGCCGGGGACCCCCCGAGCCCCCGCCGCCCCCCAGCTCCCTCCCACCGGCCGGGGACCCCCCCGAGCCCCCGCCGCCCCCCGCGCCCCCAGCGCCCCGGCCCGGGCGGCCGGCCACCCCCCCAGCTCCCTCCCACCGGCCGGGGAGCCCCCCCCAGCCCCCGCCGCCCTCACCTCGGGACACGCAGGAGCCCATCACGGGGCCACGGGGCCGGGCCGCTGCGCCTCGGGTGCGTCGGGCCGCCGGGCGCTCATGTCTACGCGGGCCGAGGGGCGCGGGGCGGGAGCCGGGGGCGCTTCAGGTCCGCGCTGCTCGGCCTCGGCTCCTCCCCGGGTCGTCCTCGTTTCCACTGCTTCCACGGCAGCGTCCAGATCTCCCAGCTCCAGGCCGCCGAGGGGCGGTGACACCGCGGGGGCGGAGCCCTGGGCCGCGGGGGCGGGGCTCTGGGTCTCGGGGGCGGAGCCCTGGGCCTGGGGGAGGAGCCCAAGACCGTGGGGGCAGGCCCTGGATCGTGGGGGCGGGGCTCTGGGCTGTGGGGGGTAGGTCTCATGACCTGGGGGCGGGGCCAGGGGCCAGGGGATGGGGGTCAGGACCGCGGGGGCGGGGCCCATGCCCATGGCCCTAGGCATCCGGAGGCGTGTCCCAAGTAGATCCCCCCCCCCCCCCCCCCCCCCCCCCGCTTCAGAGGTCCCGCCCCCATGATCCCCATCCGGTGCACCTGTTGCCACTGCAGGGGTCTGGGGAGAGGAGGAGGGTGGAACTCTGGCCTCAGGCTCCCCAGCACCCGAAGGTCAGGAGGGTAGGGCGACTTTGGCATTTGGGGCTTAAAGCAAACTAATTTGGTGACAGTGGGGGAACGATGCAGAGAACCAGCCCTCCTTCCCCTCCATTGCTGAGGTAGATAGATGTCTGGTGGCAAAAAGTCAGCTTGGCTGGGTGAAGCCTGGGTGGCTCACACCTGTAATTCCAGCTGCTGAGGAGGCAGAGATCTGAGGATCACAGCTCCAAGAAACTGAAGCGGTGATGTTGTGGGTTTGGGGTTGTTTTTTGCTTTTCAGTCGTGGGGCTTGAACTTGGGGCCTGAGCACCATCCCTCAGCTCTTCAGTTCAAGGTGAGCTCTCTACCAACTTGAGCCACAGCACCACTTCCAGTTTTCTGGTGGTTAATTGGAGATGAGTCTCACGGACTTTTCTGCCTCAGCTGGCTTTAAACTGTGATCCTCAGATCTCAGCCTCCTAAGTAGCTAGGATTACAAGCATGAGCTAACGGCGCCTGGCATTGTTGTTGTTTTGCTGGTCGTGGAGTTTAAACTCAGCCTGGGTGCTGTCCCTGAGCTCCTTTTGCTCAAGGCTAGCCCTCTACCACTTGAGCCACAGCGCCACTTCCAGCTTTTTCTGTGATTAATTAGAGGTAAGAGTCTCATGAGCTTTCCTGCTCCAGCTGGCTTCAACCTTTAATCGTCAGATCTCAGCTTCCTGAGTAACTAGGATTATAGGCAGGAGCCTGTGCTTAGCTTTTCTGTGAGATTTTTTTTTCCTGTGAGATTCTTATCTCCAGTTAACCACCAAAAACTCAGAAGTGGAGCTGTGGTTCAAATGGTAGAGCGCTAGCCTTGAGCAAAAAAAGCTCAGAGTTTGCCAGGCACCATTGTGAACTTAGGATCACAGTTGAAAGCCATCCCAGGCAGGAAAGTCCAACAGGGGCTGGGAAGGTGGCTCAGTGGTAGTGTTTGCCTCGCATGCCTGAGGCCCTGGGTTCAATTCCTCAGCACCACATAAACAGAAAAAGCCAGAAGTGGTGCTGTGCTCAAGTGGTAAAGTGCTCGCCTTGAGCTGAAGAGCTGAGGGACAATGCCCAGACCCCCAGTTCAAGAACCACAACCAACAACAACAACAAAAAAAGCTCAAACTGAGTAGGAGTACACACTCGCGCATGCATGCGTGCACACACACACACAGAGACAGAGCTGAGGGTCAACACATACCCTCAGCTCTGAGGGTTAGTACCATTGACTACAATCTCCTCACCTGGGGGATACTTAGCTCAGGCCAGTGAGCAGAGGTCTGGAATAAGGCACCAGCAGTCTCTCAGGCTGAGGAACTCTGGTGATGACTGAAGAAGCAGGCTCCTTTCCAGGGCTTCTCTAGGGCAGAGTAAACTGAGGCACATGTCTTTGTGTCTACCCTGATGGCTTCTCCCACAGGCACACTGCCCAGTCCACATTCTTGTGTTTGTACACAGTTACACACCAGCTCCTAGGCAGACAAAGCAGAGACATTTATCTTTAATCAACCAACAAAAATCTAGAAACTGGAGCTGTGGCTAAAGTGCTAGTGTACTAGCCTTGAGCAACAAAGCTCAAGGATGGTGTCCAGGCCCTGAGTTCAAGCCCCAGTACACACACACACACACACACACACACACACACAGAGTACTTAAGGCTAAAAATAGATGCAGATGGTCTTCCAGACCATGGGTCATATGGGTCATAGATTTTTGCCTCTGTGGATTCAACCAATTGTAAATTCAAAGTATCCAAAACCAAAAAACAGTGTCTGTATTTTGATCATGTACAGGCTTTTATCTTTGTTATTTCCGACATAAATCAGAACAACTCTTTATACAGCATCTGCATTGGATTAGATAGAGATGATTTGATTGAGTTATCTGGGAGGAGGATGTGGGGTCAAATAGGCTGCTATTTTACCCAAGAGGCTGCAATGTACCCTTCAGTGGTGGAGGTCTTGGCATTATTCCCCTCCCCCCGAAGCCTGATGAATGACAGCAGGACTGGGGACAATACAAGTTGGTGCACTATCACCTCACCTGCCCCACACCCAGCCTGAAGACTTTGAAGTGATGGACAGGTATAAACCACCTATGGCATGACAGTATGAACAAGAGTTCCCGCCCCCAAGTGAGTACTGTTCACAGCCACTTGGAATGCTGCCGCAACCCCCCCCCCCCCATGCTCTGCCCTCCAATCTGGCCTTACTGAGGTAGCCCTGAAGGACCATCCTTTTATTTCATGGATGCCAGCCTGCTGCACTGTGGCCTTGTCTGGAGAAGGAAAATGCGGTCAGCCTGTGACCAGGCTCTAGCTCTGTCCTGGGTGGCGGCCTGGGGCTACAGAGAAAGAGCTGCCCCTTTTTCTTATTCCTGTGGGGAGTGACTGAATCTGAGTCATCATGATTTGGGAGCTTGGTCCTAGCTGCCAATTCTCCTAGCTGGCAACCTGCCAGCTCTAGGACAGAGGGGAGGGGACCCCTACAGAGAGGGCAGGCAGAGGAAAAGGGAAGAGCATGACTGGGTCCCCACTATGTCCTCTTCAGCCTGAGGCATGGACGGGAGGGAGGATCAACTCCCAGATGTAGCTGGGGGTAGGGTGGGGTGGGGTGCTTTGGGCTGACCCAGCCTCTGGAGTTCATGCTGGCCAGCTCTGTGCTGATTCAGCCCCGTCCTTGTACCCAGTGATGATCAGAGAGAAGCAGAGGTTTTCCCAAGGTCACCCAGCAAGTTGATGGCAGAACAGACCAGACTAGAACTCAGGTGCGACCCTGCGCGGTACAGGGGCAGGCGGCTCTTTCTCAGGAGGCCACCGTCACCTTCCCAGTCCTTGGAATTCTGCTGAAGCGGAGACAGTGTCCAGACAGCTCCAGGCTCTGTGGCCGTCCTCCCAGGGGCTGGCTGTCCTCTCCCAGCTCAGCTCACAGCCCATCTGCCCTGTGAGCTTCTACTGTCTGCCCTGGTGCCCTCCTGCCATGCCCGCTTATGGCAGAGGGGCGAGGGAGAGAGCCCGACTGCGCCCTTCACACCTCACCCTGCATTCTCCGGCCATGATCTTAGGGTTCCGGGCAGATTTCCCCCCTCCTCCTGCAGCTGCCCCCGTTTATTTCAATTCACCAACAGACATTGGCCGCCCCAAGTGCTGTGGGCACTGGAGCATACAGGGATACCGCGGGGCCTGATGGGAGGAGAAGTAATGACAAGAAGCACTAAGGGGCTGAATCGGAGCAGCGCTTGCGCTAGCAGTCCTGGGGGAAGGGTTTGGTGGGGGGAGGATGTCAGGATGAATGCCACCTGCATGTGTGAGCACTGCTGCTCCTGCTGAGGGCTGGCAGGCAGCTTCAAGGCTACAGTGAGTCTGAAGCTGGATGTGGAAAGCAAGGTGGGATGTTGGCAGGCAGAGCTGGCAGAGCGCTCTCTTGCACAAAGGTTTGGAGGCGGGGACATTCGGAGCATAAGTGACATCCTGGGAGACAATGAGGCTGGGCACAGAGGCTGCCCTCCCCCAGGCTACAAGAATATCTAGGAGTGCTGAGCACCCGTGGCTCACATCTGTAATCCTAGCTACTCAGAAGGCTGAGATGTGAGGTTCTGAAGTTCAAATCCAGCCCAGGGAAGTCAAATCTGAGTGACTCTTACCTCCAATTGACCTCCAGATAAGCTGGAAATGGAGCTGTGGATCAAGTAGTAGAGCACCAGCCTTGAGTGAAAAAGCTCTGAGACTCACCCAGGCTCTGAGTTCAAGCCCCAGTTTTGTTTTGTTTTTTAAAGGCCCAGATTAACTTTGGAATAGCATTCAGCTTGAAACTGGTGGCTTCCAGATGGTCTTGCAGGACTAATGGTCTTCCTCTTTTTTTTGGGGGGGGGGGTCCGGCCGTGGGGCCTGAACTCTGGGCCTGGGCGCTGTCCCTCAGCTCTTCAGCTCAAGGCTAGCGCTCTACCACTTGAGCCACAGTGCCACTTCCGGCTTTTTTCTTTTTGCTTATGTGGTGCTGAGGAATCGAACCCAGGGCCTCTGGCATGCAAGGCAAGTGCTCTACCACTGAGCCACCTTCCCAGCCCCTGGTCTTCCTCTTTTAACCTCAGGCAGCAAACAGTTAGACTGAGTAGGGAAGGGGAGAAGGCAGAGAGAAAGACAGGCAGCGGGGAGGGGGGAAGGAGAGAGCACTTAGGGAACCTGAAATTAGATGGAGGGTCCAGAGATACTGGAGAGAGATCAGCCCCACCCTGGAAGGAAATACCCAGCCTATGGAATGAAGGGGGTGCTCCGAGTTCATCTGCCTGGCCCAGGACTGGTTCCCGAAAGCTGCTTCATGCCAGGATCCCTTCCTTAGGGTTCAGGGGCCAATGTCCCTACTCATCCAGGTCTGAGTACTCTTCCCTCCCTCCCTCCCTCTCTCTCTCTCCTTTTCTTTCTCTCTCTTTCTTTCTCTCTCCTTTTCTTTCTTTCTCTCTCTCTCTTTCTTTCTTTCATCATGGGGTTTGAACTCAGGGCCTCAGCACTGTCTCTGAGCTCTTCATCTCAAGGCTAGCACTCTACCACTCTGAGCCACAGCACCACTTCCAGTTTTC